ATTATTCCTAGAATCCCCTCGGGTTGATCTATCCCCATAAGAATTTACAATTTCACCAACAAAATTAACTTGAGTGGCAAGCTCTTGAAATATAGCTTTTTAGCTGTTCTGCTGTAGATTTGCAAGAACGCTACCCACACAATAGCCATTATTACCATCTGGACAATAGCATCCATCAACACAGGGAAGTTCACTATCAACACAGTGAGTTTTCTGGCGACAGGAAAATGGGCAACAATCAATGCATTCATTGTAGACAAGATGCTCCTCACATTTAACAACTGCAAAAACAGAAGACACAGAGAATATTATGTGATTTATGCTGTTGTTCCAATTTCATTTAAGAAAAGAGTTCTGTTCAAAGGTTTATGCCTCTATAAATCCATTAAAGCTTTAAAGTCTCTTGATAGATATATATATAATGCATTTGAAAGCTAGTTTCAAAATTGATGTGTCATTTTCCTTTTCCATTCTTGCAACCAATCATAGAAGTAGATTTTATTTCATATCTAAAATGCTTTCCAAAACTACAGCTGAACCAAATAGAAAATTGTTTGCCTAACATTTGAAACAATGTCTGCAAGATACTACAGACTTGTGAAAAGATAAGTTCATGAGACTTATTTTCTCACTGCCCTCATCTTGGTGCACAACACAAAGTAGTTATTCTTCCTTCTATGTGCCTCCTATAATCCCATAGTTTAAATTACTTGTAATCTTAAAATCTGGATGTGCAAGAAGAAGGATGGTTGAATGGAGATAAAGTTAATAGATACAAGATGTCCTTGTGCATTGCTTCTGGGAAGCTGAGATGATGGGAGTAAATAGATAAGATATACACTATATCAGTGGTGGCGAACCTATGGCATGTGTACCAGAGGCGGCACTCAGAGCCCTCTCTGTGGGCACGTGCACCATCGCCCCAGCCCCGCCTCCCCCACAGCCTCCTCCTCACCAACAGCCCCCCCCAGAGGAGAGTCACCCCCAAGCATGGCCCGCGTGGAGCAGTGCAGCCAAGGACATGGGGGTGGAGTGGGAGTGGAGTGAGCAGGAGCAGGGAGCAGAGCGCGGGTGGGGGTGGTAGGGAGGGCCAGTTTTGGGGCACTCAGTCTCTAAAAGGTTCGCCATCACTGCACTATATGATATATAAGCACTGAACACTTCAACAGAACATTGATTTCCTACTTTCTTTGGGAATGAAAATCATTATCACACAGCATCAATGTTAAATGTTCTTATTCCTAACTTGATGTTATATAGTATGTTATGAAATAGTGTATTAAGTTTTTGATCAGATATACAAATTTTATTTATTTATCTATTACAACAATACATGCAGAAATGTGTTTCTCGCTAGTTTTGCATGCTACCAATTTATTTAATCATTGCCACTCTGTGTTAGTAAATGTAGCAATTTAAAAATCAGGGTTTAAACATTATAAACTTAGTCAAAGCTGAACTGATTAAGAATGTGAAAACAAAATGCGGGGGGGGGGGGAGAGACAAAGACTTGGGAAAACTACAGAGACTGGAAAACATTCTGAAACCCTTCAGTGCCTACCACATTGCTCAAAATTAGCCCGCCATTCGTGGAGTGGTCTTCCTGCTTGAGCACAAGTCCTTGCGTATTCGGTTAATGCATGACACCAAGTGGTATTATCAATGCCTGACCTTAAAAACATTACAATTAACATAATATCATTATCTCTATTTCCATGCAAGAGCAGGATGGTAATAATAATATTGTTACTAGCAATCCAGAGATATTATTGATAACAGTATTCATTATTATTTTATTATTATTTTGAGCAATGCACAAAATGCAAAACAACATATTATAAAAGCAATACAAATAGCAGTTATATTTTATTTGAAGGTTAAAAGCTGTCAGTACTAAGGATACATACCACTATCTATTCATTATCATTCTTATTAGTATTTTATTTTGATAGAAAATCAGTATCGCCCAGGTACAATCATAACTTTTGTTTATTTATAATTATATAAGCTCTTAATTGAATTGTATTTTCAAACATACTTATTTCAATGAATTTAAGCTAAACTCTAAATCTCGTTTTAGTGTCATGTGAAAGGTTTTCAGAACGATTCACAACACGTAAGTTAGATAAAGTGCCTTTAAAGGTAAAGGCAAAGGTTTCCCCTGTCTAGTCATGTCCGACTCTAGGGGGCAGTGCTCATCTCCATTTCTTAGCCAAGGGAGCCAGCGTTGTCCAAAGACCCTTTCCAAGGTCATGTGGCTAGCATGACTATACTCCGAGGTGCATGGAACACTGTTATCTTCCTACCAAAGTGTACCTATTTATCTACTCGCATTTGCGTGCTTTCGAACTGCTAGGTGGGCAAGTAACAGGAACTCGCCCGATTGCATGGCGCTCAAGTCACAAACCAGAGCGTCAGTTTTCCAGCTGACAAGCTCAACATATTTAACTGCTGAGCCATCACCTGCCCCCCCCTCCAAAGTGGCTTTAAAAAAAATAAAAATAAAATAGATTAATCTAATTTTACCGCTCAAATGGCACATTAAACTGCAGGTAACTTAAAACAGATATCAGATCTGGTCTTCACAAATAAATCTCAGAGACAAAGGTGTGAGTAACATCCATTTCTGGAATCTTAAGCTCATTATTCTAGAACTGAACCATGATTTAGTATTAAATCAAAATATAATCAGCTAATGAGAATTCAAAATACATAAATTTAAACCGCTCAATTCTATGGGAATGAACAAATGAATATCACTCTACAACACTTGAAAAAGAAGCAGGTGGGAAATAAATACTTGGCCAAGATGAATCCTGCTATGTGTATATATTATGTCATCTTGAACATGTTGAGAACTTGCTCCTAGACATCATGATGCTGTCTGAGATATGAATGGTATGAGGAGATAATTATATAATAAATAGACCCATGTATATTCGTGAGCTCTTTTGGATCCTAGCTATCCACTTCTAAATCTGGACTTCAAAAAAAATGGATACTTACATACATAAATCATTTGTGCAACTGGCCATGAAAGGAAATGGGCTCACAAATTCATGACAGTCTTTAAAGGGGGACCAAAGCAATACGCTGCATAATGAGTATGTCCTCTGAAAACAGAAAAAAAGTAGAGAATTTTTTTTAACAGTACCAAAACAGAAAACTGAAAAGCAACTCAATAAGTTCCTACTACCCCAGGAGTTGTTGATACAGGTTTTACAGAGGAATTATTGAGTGTCATCATTTGTACTTCTACAACTGTCTGGTTTGGTACAGCAACCAAACATCATAGGTACAGACTCCAACAGATAGTTAAGACTGCAGAAATAACAATTGCAACAGTCTGCCATCCATAGAAGACCTGTATATTGCACAGGTCAAAAGGAGAGCTGAGAAAATATATACAAGACCCCTCACATCCTGAACATAAATTGTTTCAACTCCTCCTCTCAGGACACCACTACAGGGCACTGCATGCCAAAACAACTAGACACAGGGACAGTGTTTTCCCTCGCTCCATCAATCTGCTGAACAACTAATTCTCACAGTGCTGTCTAATATCTATATATATTTCCCCATGTGGTATGGCTGTAGTATTATCACATTCTTCTTATTATCTTCTTTACTCCCCATTCTTATTGGGATGATAATGATGATGATGATGATGATGATGATGATGATGATGATGATGATGATGATGATGATGATGATGATGATGATGATGATTCTGTTGCTTTGCATATACACTGAAAGCTACTGCACCGGAGACAAATTCCTTGTATGTAATCACACTTGGCCAATAAAGTATTCTGTTCTGTTCTGTTCTGTTGTTCTGTTCTGTTCTACTCTACTCTACTACTCTACTCTACTCCACTATACTCTATTCTATTCTACTCTATTCTATTCTATTCTATTCTATTCTATTCTATCTAGAATAATTAACAACCCTAGCATTAAAGAAACAGGTTGTCACTTTACTTTAAATCAATATAATATAGGGAATAATGTTGGGCCCGAAATATTGTTGCATGACACAAACAATTGCATTTAGAGTTATGGCCAGAGAAGATAATATGCAACAATTCCCAATAGTGGATGCTGTTCCCTTAAACTGTGCGTCTGATCACCTCTCTTCTCTGAAGGAAGCCATTCCATTTATGCATCATACATCAGAATATAAACCAACGTCGTTTCATCAGCAGTAATCTGCTGATGAAATGTGTTATCATCTACCAGTCTGATGTAGTTTCTGATTCTTTGGGGGAGGATTTTAGATTTAGAAATAAATAGGTAAACTATAATATAAATTTTTATTCTTATCAAATATATATCCATTATAATTACAGGTAGTCCTCAACTTACAACAGTTCATTTAGTGACCATTCAAAGTTCCAACAGCACTGAAAAAGTGACTTATGACTATTTTTCACACTTATGACCACTGCAACATCCTCATGGTCACGTGACCAACATTTGGATGCTTGGCAACTGGTTCATATTTATGACAGTGGCAGTGTCCCCAGATCATGTGAACAATGTTTGTGACATCCTGACAAGCAAAGTCAATGGGGAAGCCAGATTCACTTAACAACCGGGTTATGAATTTAACAACTGCAATGATTTATTTAACAATGGTGGCAAGGAAAGTCGTAAAATGGGGCAAAACTCACTTAACAAATGTCTCACTTAGCAACATAAAATTTTGGCTCAGTTATAGTCATAAGTCGAGGACTACCTGTACAAAATGCATTCTTACTATGCTCTGTTAACAGAGGCACATTTTAAACATAGATAAATAAATTTTGCAAACTCATCCCATACAGGATACATAAAGAATGTTATTGAATATAAACACTAGGAAAAAAATTCTAGATTTTTTATGGAAAACTGAAATTTATGGAAAACTGAACTACATTAGTCAAAATTATAATAAATGTATCTGGTTTTTTGTTCATTTGTTTGTTACTGACAATTGCCTGTAAATAGAAAAGTTGTTTCACAGGTGCTCATCTAAATGCTTAAAATCTAATTAAATTCTGATAGCAGGCACTTCCAAGTATCTACAAACTATAGCTTTAAATGATAAAATACTAAATTCTGAAAAATAATAAAGTATAAGATATGAAAACCAACTCAGACATAATAAGAATATAATCCATCAGCTAACCATATTCATCAGCTAATGTAACTCCTCAGCTTGTTTTGTTCCAAAAGGAAAGAATTATATCTTTTGAAGTAAAAACTTACAGTATATAACAGTGGTAGCGAACCTATTGCACGGGTGCCAGAGATGGCACTCAGAGCCCTCTCTGTGGGCACGCGCGCCATCGCTCCAGTCCTAGGTCTTCAGCTGGGTTTTATAAAACCTTTTCGCTTTAGGCCTCTGCCACCATGCGCAAAAAAAAAAGGTTCAATCACTCAGTCAATTTCAACTTCTTGCGGGGAAAAAAAAGATCTTGCAAAGTTGGAATTGATTGATTGAACTTTTTAGTCCCACCCAGTCTGCCATTACCACCGCAGCCACGCCCAGCCAAGGGGCCACACCCAGCCAATGGGCCACACCCAGTCAATGGGCCACACCCAGCCAATGGCCACACCCACCCGGCACCCAACAATGCATAAATGGGTTTTGGGTTGCAGTTTGGGCACTCGGTCTCTAAAAGGTTCGCCATCACTGGTATATAAAAAACTAGTTGAAATTAGATAGAATCAGATTTTTTTCTTTTTGACTGCTTGATTGCTATGTTGTCTTTTTTTCAGGAAATCTAAACAACATGTACAATTCCCACAGCCACCAACTTGTGAGGCATATTAAGCTGAGAGATAGCCTTAGTCAGCCTCAATGGTAGAGCGTGGTCAAAAACTTGAGTTTTCCTTGTCACAATCCAATAACCACTTCACTATAATTCACTGATTGCTCCTACGACACTTTTGGCATTTATAAAGTCTTCTAGATCACAGGGTCTCTCAACACTATGTCAACTAAGAAAAAAAATACAAGCCAGTATGGCAGACTTACATAATAAAAGGGCGATGATTGTGACTGAATAGACAAAAAAGCTTCATATTTAGAACTAAATCTTATTTTGTGTGGTGTGTTGAATAATCATACTTACCTGCAAAAATGCATTAGTTCGAGTCAAACAGGGTGGTTCATAACTAAAAGATGTGCCCCAGGAACGGATGTTCTCCTGGGGAGGATTTTCCCTCCAACTTTCCACAAATTCTTCAATATCTTCTGTAATTTTTTCTAGGGGGCAAATACACAGATGCATAAATGCAGGAAGTTCACTTTATCATCACTGTGTTTCCTTCACAATTTCCATCTTCTTAAGTAATATTAAGTTAGTTCTAATGAGTTCTGAAACGGAGTCAGTGTTCAGTCATCTAGCCATTAACACCATGCTGTCTAATGGAATCATTACAGTGAAGACAGTTCAATTGCTACTAATAGAATAGTATTGTAACATACACTGGGAATCTTCACTCAGAATAATGTTGGAGTTTATGATGTTTTTTGTATGAATTTTAAAAATTCTTTTTGCATTAGGGATTTTCTGCCATACTGTGTGGGCATCTCACACAGAGACTCATCATGGGATGAGTCTCTAATCAATAAAGCATATAGATGCAAATACACAGAAAACGCATAATATAGGACATACATTACTGATTACGATTCCGTAACACAAGCAATCTGTCTGTATAAGCTGTGGGGAAGAATATCATGAGAAATTTTCTGCATACACCTTGGAAAGACATTTTTTTGAGTATAATAGAAGATATCAGAATTTTTCTCTCTTATTTGACTGATTACAAGAGCCCTGATTTTCCAGTTCCCATCCATTTTTCCATATAATGAAATCTGTACTTATGACCCAAAATAGAAGGTCAGGCTATTTAAAAAATACCTTGCTGGCACAACATTGCCTTTACTTAACTCCTAAACTACATTAATTTAGTTCTAATGTTCCTGTGTCTTAAATATTCCATGCAGATAAAACTAGAACAATTTGATAGGTATGTATTTTTTCTATGTTCAGTTTCATTATAATATAATATTATAATATAATATAATATAATATAATATAATAATATAATATAATATAATATAATATAATATAATATAATATAATATAATATAATATAATATAATATAATATAATATAATATAATATAATATAATAATATAATATAATATAATATAATATAATATAATATAATATAATATAATATAATATAATATAATATAATATAATAT